TTCTGCCACTAGCCTCGATTCCACAAGAGGATGACATTCCTGAAGTAAAAAAAAGCACAAAACTGAGAAATCTCAGTTTTCAAACTTTTCTCAAGCATTTTTTTTTTGCCTGGTTTAAACCTTCATGCTTTCATCATGCTTTCATTAGGTATGAATTAATGCTTTAATTTTCAGCCTATGCTGCAACTCCACCTCAGCAAAAACACAAAATCAGAGACTGAAAAATTGAAAAATGTAGATGTAAACTACCTCTGGTATCTTTAAAGCAGTAATGGAATCTGTATTTTGTTTCTCCAAAAACAATCATTTTCAATATATGATAACCAAGTTTGTATTGTGCATCTAACATAGATTTTGAAATTACATTGTATACATTGCAAATTTTTAAACAAAATGAATAAATAATTGATTCATTTGTTTAGGGCTTTTCATCCCAGAGGATTCAGAAAGACTTCACACATAAGAAAAGGACCCACTTCATCCTTCACTGAAGTGTTAGTCACTATGCAGGTTACAAGCCAACAGTCCCACTACAAAACAGATCAGGAGGAGAAGTGAGCACTTTACCAATTGAATAACGCTGAACGTTAAACAATTTATACATAGAAAGAGAAACAACCTCATTTAACATTGCAATGGCAATGATGTCTTCAGCTACAGTTCATTAAGATGCACATTTACTTGATAAGCAGTTAATGCTAATGCAATCAATCACATGCTAAGATTTGAATTTGGCATAGATCTCATACTGGAATACAACCAAAAAGTTAATGGACAATGGCAAAGAACTTATCAATGTCTTTTTACAACAAATACTCCAAATATTATTATTCTTAAGATTAAGCTATAGGCTATCTCATTATGATTTAAAATATTATTGGCCTTGCTTTTTCTTCACATTATTCAGTGAAGCATTAATGAAGACTAAGGGCAGCACAGCAAGAGCAGTGGGTAGTTTTGCTGCTTTGCAGTACCGGGGCCCTGTGTTCTAACTGTGCTCACGTGGGTTTCCCCCAGGTGCTCCTGTTTCCTCCCACAACCCAAAAACATACTGGTAGGTTAAATTTTATTTAAATTATTTTGATTTATTTTCATTTAATTTATTGCATTGTGGTTGGTCTCCCTTATCTTCATTTGCAAGTTGTCTAAATAAGGTGAGGCGAGTAACTAAGGGGAGTCTGTTTATGTTTTTTGCAAATGGTTTTGGAAGTCTGGAACAAGATACCCAATACTGTTGTGCAAGATGACACTCTAGTTTTTAGAAAGAAACAGTTGATTTAGAGCCCGTGATCTATTAGTTAATAGCAATTAAAGGAGATAGGTGGCAGCAACCAGTCAGCAGCAATATTACCCTGCAACTCTCAACTGGCAACCCCTGTGAAGTTAAGCATGTGTGAGCCTGGTCAGTACCTGAATAGGAGACCTCCTGAGAAAAAATAAGGTTGGTGTGGAAGTGGTGTTAGTGGGGCCAGCAGGGGGTGCTCACCCTTTGGTCTGTGTGGGTCCTAATGCCCCAGTATAGTGACACTATACTGTAAAAAGGTGCTGTCCTTCAGATAAGATGTAAAACTGAGGTCCTGACTCTTGGTGGTCATTAAAAATCCCAGGGTGTTTCCGGAAAAGAGTGGGGATGTTACCCTGGCATCCTGGCCAGATTACCCATTGGCCTTTACCAGTCATGGCCTCCTAATAATCCCCATCTATGAATTGGCTTCATCACTCTGTTCTCCTCCTCACTGATAGCTGGTGTGTGTTGTGTGTATTGTTGCAGGTGAATGCTGCACATTGGTGCACTTATTTTCAGTTACTTTTTGTGGGTTGATATTGTAAACAATTCATTATGTGATTAGCAATGTAGTGCTCTCTTTTTTGTTCAGTCTGGTTGTCTCTGTAAATAATTCTGCCCCTTGTTTGCTGAATCATGAAAGTCTTTTTGTTAATATTTGTATTTATAACTTATTAATTATTAATATGTTTGATGTTTAATGTAAAGTCCCCATTTTGCTACTTTTTTGTACTATATACTGTTCAGTATGTCCTTCCTCACAAATAAAGTCATATATCAGTGTCATATTAAAATAGCATTACTCATATGGCTATCCATTTATGTCCCCTAGTTGCTGTTTCACTGTTGATTTTGAAGTAGGCCACTGGATTGAGTCCAATAATGGTGCTAAATCCATCTTTTTATAGTATGAGAAGCCCAAAATGACATGTAAAGTTCGCAATTCAAGTTCAACGGGCCGTGTCTGCAAAATATTATTGCTTCTTCGCAGCCTTTGGGTCAGAACAGTGGGAGAAAAACTGAAAACTGATGTGACTATTTCACGCATCAACCAGAAGAGGGCGTAAGTGTATTAAAATGCCGTGCTTTGTACAGGTTTCAAGATTAGACATTCTTATATGTTTTAACCCAGTAAATGAGATCTGTGTCTTCAACAGAACCGTTGGAAAAGAAGCGCTTCAGCAATAGGAGGCAATACTAGTAATGAGGAATGGTCTTTGGTCTTCCGTTATCAAAAACGTACAGATGCTAAAGAGATAGGGCTCGTATTCACTAAAACTTTTACCGGTATCGGGACTCAGTGCGAATTAAGCGTAAAACACAATCTCTCTGCATCTTTCTCAGCAACAAAATCATCTTCATAACTCAACACCCGTAGCTTACATCATGGAAGAGTTTCAAACATTTCAGTTTCTATTAACAACAGGCAATTACATGTCTTTAATCAGCAGTCAGAAATCGATTAAATAACATCCTGCAGATTTAAAGAGCAGTGCAGAGTATCCTCTTTGAAATTCCTGCTGTGATACATGTATAGACGCTGTGTTGGATTTCCTTTGCTAACGTTATTTTATACGGAGTCTAAATCGCACTGCTGGTGTTGTTTCTTTCTAAACATGTTAGGATGAGTATTCCCTTATACTGTATATAATATATGTAACACTAGAGGGAGCTACAATTTTATCAAATAATAAATTTGATCATTGTAATTCTTAATTACTTATTTGAGAAAAAATAGAACAGGCTTTTTCTAGAACAGTAACAATAATAGGTGAATTCTGGAACAGTAATAGGTGATGACACAAGACACATGGTTAATGCATGAGTGATATATTTAAGCTTAATTTGGGAATTTTCACATGAATTGAGGTTTTCTTCAAAATTATCATATGCCATCAGAACGAGAAGCAAAAAAAAAGACTGAATTTTCAGTCATTTGGTTGATCTTGGCTTGTTAGCAGTACAAATCACTGTTAGCAGTAGAAGTACATGTTAGTGCATAAGAAAAGATTTAGAGAGGTAATGAAAGAATGTCATTTGGCCTAAGTGATCCAAGGATCCAGCCACTTCTTGGAAGCAACCAGGGTTTCACCCTCAAAAATATAGCTAGTTCCATCTTCCCACAAGCCGTTGTGTAAAGAAGTGCCTCCTTTTCTCAGTTTTAAATGCAGTTCTGCATAGTTTCTACTTGTGCCCTCTGATTAGAGTTTCACTCTTCATTCTGAAGAGATCCCCTGGGCTGACTTTGTCAGTCCCTTAAGGGTTTTGAACTCTTGTATCAGGTCTCCTTGTAATCTTCTCAGTTCGGGACTAAAGAGGTTCAGTTCCTTCAGCCTCTCAATGTAGGAAATTCCCTTAAGCACAGAATGTATCTGCATTTTCTTTTCTGGTCATGAATTAGAGAATTTCATTCATGTACAGTAGTACTTACGTGGGTGCTGTTCTTTGTGGATATTGCTACTGGTGTAATTGGAATGCTCAATAATCCCCAATTTTTCCCAGGAGCCACTTAACCTACCCGTAAATCTTTGGACTGTGGGAGGAAACCAGAGCACCTGGAGGAAACCCACACGAACACCGGTAGAACATATCAACTCCATGCTGATAGCACACCAAGTCTGGAATTGAACTCGGGTCTCCAGGGCTGTGAGGCAGCTATGCTAACCTCTACACTGGGGTACCAATCCATATAGAGCCTATGTACACTCACAATATTCCCTACATATTCCAATCATTTTTCTTTTTTTTTTAGTCTTGGAATAGCACTGGTTAGCACCTTGGAAAAAGACAAGTGGATGTGATGTCACAGGCAGTAATTATTAAACTAATAGACCCAGGTTCATGAAAGTATACTTACCAGGCAACTCAAAACTGTCTTTTAGACAACTGCAAACAGAGGCGAAAAGATGTAGAGGTGCTGTTATAAAATTCCCCATTCTTCACTTGTTTTACTTTGAAATTGAGAAAAATATTTGCAATAATTAATTGTTATTATTTAATATTTATAAAAAATTAAATTAAGAATAAAGGTGTACTTTTTAGTTACTTGAGTAACTACAAGAGTACAGTTTTAGCAATTGTTTGAGACAATGAATTCGTTCTGCATTGACTTTAAAGAACATTATAATATAGTGAGATTTTAACAGATCAAAGTAAACAAACAGATGTTTGTGTCTGCCCGTTTATCTCCTATAAAATGTTGTTGTTCCTGTAATTTTCACTTCTTTTTCGTATATTAGGTATTTCGTTGGTCGATCAAATACTTCCCTGGGTTATTAATAATATGCTTTGTTAGCTGTGTAAAGGATAACCCAGCCGTTTTCTTTGAAAAAGAAATGGATGTTGAAAGTACTGATTAAACCCCATGGGAGAACCAGAAAGAAAAATAACTTTTCATAAAACTATAGTAGTCTCACACTGAGGGAATTATAGTTTGAAACGTGATTGTAGTTCTTCTTTTTATCTTCCCATACATAACTCCTATCCTGAAAATTAATCGCAGTCTGTACATAAAGATTAAAGAGTGTGTGTGAAGTGAATGTGCTTTGGTTATTTTAGTATTCTTGATTTTTTATGATGCACACAATCTAAAAGATACCAATACATTATTATTTTATAAACACTCTTAAAGCAGAGTAACTTTCAAATGGAAAGACAAGAAAACCAATAGAAATTATAGATAAGTTTTTATTTACAACAGTTATACAGTGCAAATATTTACATACTGTTTTGCATAGCGTAATTCGCCGGTGAAACAAACATTTTCAACGTCAAACGTTATAAATACCGGTTAGGACTCTATATTGTACACTTATATACAGTCTCAAGACAGAGGAAACACATAGTTCAGGGACAGCCTCCAAGAGTATATTACTTTTACCTGCCTACTTACATGATTCAGAGAAGTGCTTGAGATTGTGAGGTACACGCAAACACTTTTCTAACAGTGAAAGACCGACTCAGTATATATTATAAAAAGCGGGCCTTTTCAGTCGGATTCCCCCTAACATCCAGTCATTTTAACACTGTGCCTCCTCCTCCTTCAAAAACTTTTTGAAGGGAGAAACAAAGAAAAAACAAAAGTTAAACACTTCTGATTTAGGGTGCAATATGTGGTTTCGTTTCCTATTACTTTGTCCTTAGTTCTGAAAAGTGTTTGGCTTCCGTTTTTCACTTTCAGGTCAGGTTGTTGGGGTTTTCTTCTGCAGCCAAAACGTCACTTACTTAAAATGAAGTCGCAACCTCAGACAAAGGTGTCGGTGCGGAAAGGCAATCGTTCACTTTCTCGATGTCGGCTGTGCGGGTGACTGCTCCATGGTGACAGAACTGAGCGGGAAGCGTTCCTGTCCTGGGGATAGCCTGCAACAAGCCTTTCGTTTTGGGGATGTTTGTACGATAGCACGAGTCTCTCCAGGAACTGGGGTAAGGCTGCTGATTGTATGCGGGTGCTTGAGAAAATGAAATTGTGTACCCATTCCTACAAGATAGGTTTGCGTGAGTCGGGATCACACAGTATCTCTCTCCAGAATCCGCACTTCTGCTGATCGGAGGTTGAGTTGTACCTGAAACAGAACACAATGTATATTGTTTTTGATGTTGTTGATATGAGCAACCTCCACAGTGGTTGTTATACAACAGTTCAAAGAACCATGTAGATTGTTTAAATATTTTAACAGATGCACGTTTATTAACTGTATCTCTAAATGATTTTCAGTGTCGATGAACTGGAACAAATGTACGTGCTCTCAAATTTGTGTTAGAAAGTTTGACTGGATGGAACAAGATTTAGAAGATGCTAAACTAGAAAATGTTGTGTCTCGGATTTTTGCGTTAAAACGGGGATTTTGAACCTTACCATTGGGCCGCGGATTAAAGGTGCTGGGGAATTTCTTCGATCCTTCTCCGCTGATGTCTGAATCACTGTCATTGAAGTCGCTGTCACCTTTACCGCTGTCCTTTACGCTCAGCTGATCTGTGTTCCCAATACCACTTCAAATACAAATAAATGAATAATTAGTGTCTGTCTCCATTGTGGAGATAAATAGGCCTACTTTAGATTCCCGCTAGTTACATTACTGCTCTGGCAGACAACTGTTAAACTGTTGCCACAACAGATTTTCAAATATTTTTTTTGTAATAAGAAAAAAGTGCATTTTATGGGTTCGTTCTTTGTTTCTTTTTTTTTTGTTACTTTTTATTGGAGTCACTTTTAATGGCTTTTTGGCACATCTGTGCAGTTATGAAACTTACCTCAGTTGTAAACTGAACTTTTCATCATGCCATAGGGTGGTGGGCTCGAAATGTTTTGGACTGAAGGTACGGTTGGGTAGGAAAACCTGAAAGATAAATATAAATACACAGGTCAGAATTTATTATTATTATTATTATTATTATTATTATTATTATTATT